TAATATTAATATCTCATTCTTTGGAATAATATTTACTATAAAAGATAATCAAAAATAATCATATAATCCATTATATTCACATTGTATTTCACATAAAACAAAGTTTTTTCTTTCAAAGAAAAGCATTGCTTGAAATTTTCTCAATTTTTTATATTTTTGAGACACTCTGTACCAATGTTTTTTTTTTCTTCGTTCTCTTCTTCTCTTCTTATACTTCTTTGTACATTCACGATGCATAATCAGTCCCTAATCTAATCCTAATTATAAAAAGATATCGTACAACAAACGCTGACTGAGAAACACTGACATATACCACATCTCATGTTGGTGTTCACATCTGAGTGTCATCTCATCATCTTCGTTGCTTAAACATCCAATAAATTATGAACGGGAGTATACCCAGCGATGTTCACCCCGACGATAACGTAATCCTTGGTCGACGAGACACACTCGTCGTCAGTTTCATTTTTAGTTGTATCGACACGTGTGCGGGGAAATATCGCTGGCAGCGGGGCTCGTTAACGCGGCCTGAAAGCGCTCGCACGATGGTTATTTTCAACGTTATTCAACATCTTTTTCATGCGCCCGTGTTCCTGAAAGGGATATTAAGAGAAACGTCGAGGCCTCACCGGTTGAAAAGGATGTAACCTGCGCGAAACTTGGAACGTCACTTCTCAAAGAATTTTAATTCACTGAGTTTGTATGAAAAAGAAGAAGAAGAAGAAGAAAAAAAAGAAAAAAGAACATACGGGTGGAATATAATACCGGCGGGTGGTAAATGTCACTTTCTCTTCCAAGTACCACCGTTAACGAGAGGTAAACGACGATCTTAGGACGGTTTCAGGCGATCACGTAAAGGTACGTGATGAGCTAATGAGCATCTCGTGGGTATAAGTGATACGTTCGTTTTGTAATTCGCTTGGCAAATGCATACGATGGTTATCGAGACGATACGCTGATTTTTGGCGTCACGTAGCGGCTACGTGACGAATTAATGTCATTCGGTGGAAAGTATATATCTTTTTCGTTTATTTTGGATATGAAGGATACGACGATTTTTGTTATTTGGAGTTTACAGAAAAAAATATAAGTGAACTTGTTGGACCATAAATTCACTTGATAAAAAATTGTATTTTAAATTGTTAAGAGAAGAAAGGTACGAATATGAGATATATGAGAAGAGTAATAAATAGAAAAATGAAATTAAAAAATTCATATGAAATATGTTATATATATAAATATTATAGATTTTATAGAACTTTTATTCGGATAACAATATAAGATGTGTCTTATTATTAAAAAAAATAATTATGAAATTATATTAAAGTATTAATAGTAAGATTTTATTAATGTATAAACATAATGAATAATATGAAATGTAATAAAAAAATTACAATTAATAATTTATCTTGTTCTGCAATAATCATATATGTAAATTATGCTTTCTAGATTCAAATCATGATAAGCGTATAATTAACATAATAAATATTATATTTATAATATTGTTTTTAAATTCTTCGGAAAATTTTAATCATATTATTATCTTATATTTCTACGAATTTGTCATTTCACATTCTTTTATTACATTATAATTAAAAACACGAGGATTTCAAATCTCTATTAACATACTAAAATTGTGATTATTATACAATAAACATAATAAAGTAAATTTCATTTTAATATGCATGTATACAAACTTTTTATTACAACTAGAATGTATGTATACATGCATGTAATATAAACATGGAATGTTTAAAATCTATTAAACGAAACAAAAATATAATTATTATGGTAGAGTGGTTTAATAATATTTGAAACATAATTATTAATACCAAAATTATTAATACTGCATATAAATCAAAAATTTGTTATCTTGTGTTTCTATCCTATCTTATATTTATATCTTTTTTTCTATAATTTTATTTAAGAAAAAAATTGTACAACAATCAATTGGAACTCATTCTAAAATCTGAAATTTTTCATATTTAATTTATTTTTTTTCTTTTTTAATATTTTTATATTATGGAGCAAATATAAAAGTAAAGGTAAAAGTAATATAATTTTATTATTAACATCCTAATTTTTTCATTAGTATAACGTTTTCCATCTTGGAGAATATCATATATTAAAAAATATCTTTTTCTATTTTTTCAATTTACACACATTTACAGAACATGATTTTTCACATGAATGCTTCGTTGCACTTTTATATCACATCACAGAATTTGTAATCTTTTTTTCTTTTAAATTTTTTTAATACTTTTTTAATATTTTTTCATTTTTAGAGAAGAAACTTTTTGTTGAAAAATGATTGTGATATTCATATTTTTAATGAAAATAATAAAATTAAAATTATTATAAAAATTTAATATACTTCAATTTAAAATTTCTTTTGAAAGATTATAAAAAATTTTTTTTTAAAATATTAATTATATAAAAAATATTAAGTTTAATTTAATTTCGAATATATAATTATCGATATATAATATTATATTTTAACATCGATTTGCACAACATTATTTTAAAATGAATATTTATATGATATATAAATATTAGTAATGAATAAAATAAGAAAATAATAATATATATCAATATAATAATATATAATATAAATCAATCTATTTTAAAAAATAAGAAATGAAAAATAAAATATTATGTTGTATATTTTATTTTTCAATTAAACGAAAAATAAATATTTGTATATTAAAAAATATTAATATTAACATTTGTAATAATACTTCTAATCTGATTGTAAATGATAAATAGTATTTGCTTAAAGCGAGAAATGATTCGTTTTTCCAATTGATTGGATTTCCGTTTGATTGGATTTTAAATTTTCTTCACATTTCTTCAAAACACAAGTCATTCCCATAAATCACACTCCAAAATATCTATCAATTTTCAAACAATGTATAACCAGAATAAATAATTATAATAAAAACATTCATTTCTGGAATCATGATAATTATAACTCAGAAACATTTTACTATCGATTATTGCAAATAATTTGATATCTATAAATATAATCTATAAGATCTTTTATCTATCTATCTAGAGGTCAAATTTATAAATAAAAGAAATTGGAAAAGATCGTGTAAACGAAATTAAATAATATTTTAATATTATAATCTTTTTCTATATAGATTTAGATTCGAAATTACATTTTTAAAAGAAAAATAAAGTTAAATTTTTTTAAACTCATACAAATATAAATATATTAAAAACATGTTATAAAATGTATAAAATATCTCCCTATTCCTGGAAGCATTCATACATGGTAGTGGAAGGCATAAAAAATAAAAAATAAAAAGTTTATTTTATATTTTAAATTTTCCTCTTTTCTTATAATTAATTTTTTCCATTAGATTTTTCTCCGTCGATTTTTCAAAATAATAATTATATAACCTCCATGATGTTTATTTTAGCAACACGTTTTTCCTATCACATTTTCTTAAACGAAAAAATTAAAGATACGTATATATATATATATATAAATACGCTTGAAACTTGAATTTTTTGTAAAAATATAAAACCATATAAACTTCGCTCTCGAGTTACCATTACCAATTTAATTAATCCGAAGCGAAGTTACCGTTAAAAACATCCTCTGAACCGCATCCTTTGATCTACATCCTCTGTACATACATACATGTGTAACCTAGAATTCGATTTAACATTTCCAAACGTAGACGCGAATCCCTTTCGCGTAATTCGTAATTTTCAAAAGCGGCTGAAAGGGAAGGCTGATCAGGTAGTTAGGCGGGCGTTGCACTCGTTTATCCAAAATGTTGCGATTCCCAAGGCTGAAAGGTTTCAACGCGTTGGAAATAAGAGGATTGAAATGGACGCGTTTATGAACGCGCGTCATTTTGTGTACACGTGTAACCCATCTATGGACGCCCTCTATGGGATTTCCTCGTCGACGTATCCGCCACGTTTTCGCCAAGATCGCATAACGCGAATGTAATTCCTCGCCTTCTTTCCTCCACCTCTTGCAGAATATTTGAGAAACGGAGGAAATTGAAATTTCGCTTGGAAGGGAAATTTCTATTTAAAGGTTTGATCGGAAGGAATGCAAATATCACGATTTCTTCCGATCGTTTCGACTTTTTTTTAAATAACTTTCAAATTTTTGTTAATTGTTGTTGCAGAATAATTTTGTTAAGTTTTGGATTAAGTTAACAACAAGTTATTTGTAAATTGGATTCAAATAAAATACAAAAGATTGATTTCGAGCGAGGATCGAATTTTAACAATCAATCGAAAATCTTAATAGGATTGTAATTTTGTTTATTCTTTTTCTGTGAATCGAAACGCATTAATTTTTTTATAAGTCGAATTATTATTGTCGAATATAAATTTATTATATTAATATATTTTTCTAGGAAAATATCAAAATTTATTTATTAAGCCACAAACAATTTCAGTTTGCGTTAGATAAAGAGAGAGAACAAAAGAATAAAATTGTCTCTGTTATACTGTCGCATTCTATTCTCGCCTCGCTTCATTTAATCCGAACTTAAATTGCTTGCAACTTAATAAATAAGCCTTAAACTGATATTTTTATATCAATTGTACATGTTTTGAGATCTAAAACTGAATCTCCAAAAGTGTTCCACCACAAATATGTTAATATTTGTATTTAAATAATTAAGAAACTTAAGATATATTTTGAAACATAATTTACATAATGCAACCGACAATTTTGACACGTTAATTCTGAATTATATTATTCATTTAGAAAATTATTATCACACTTATCGAAAAATAACGTTCTTAAACATTTTTTGATATTAAGAAATTTATATTATAATTATTATAGAATTATTAATTATTTAATAATGGCTGTTCATTTGAATCATAACCATTCAAAAAAGAAAATGAAGATATTACATCAATCATAAACTTTTATTTTGCAAAAACGTTAGATCGTGTTATATATTGTTTCCATCTTATCACCCATGTTACTCTTTTGACAGCATAATAAAATGAACGCTTACCGTGTCAATCTCTCGACGAATCTCTTCCTTTTCTCTTTTCCTTCGGTATTTCCTTCGTATCTCTGTAAAACAAAAATAAGAAAAATCTTGTTAACGAAAGAGCAATAAATCATATTGAATTATGTATAATTGAATAATTGATAATAGTTTTATTTCTCAATTGTATTATTCGCATGGTAACAGAATAACAAAAATACGAATTATAATTCCACCAGCTCTCTCTCTCTCTCTCTCTCTCTCTCGACTCGCCGAGTACTTCCTCTAAAAGGATTTTAAAAAGGATTCTCGTCGTTTAGATCTGAACAGGGTGATAAGTGGCGCCTTTTGGAATTCTGTTGCACGTGCCTCGAGCGACGAAAAAATTAGACTCGTTTCCTCGCGAAATTAGCAGCGCGATAAGTCGGCCGGCGGAGAAAAGGAGTTATTTTGACTGAAAAATCGGCGAGCGACTAGAGGGAAGGCCGGTGGAACAAAGGGCGAAGATAATACGAGTGGAAGAAATGGTAGTGTGCATTTTGTTCCGGCAAGAGGACTTATTACCGACTTTGCTTGGTTTTGTTCTTATTTTGGGACAAAAGATGTCAGGTGGGAGGACGGTAAATGGATCGGGAAATGGACGGTGAAACGGGTTTCATATTTTCATTCGTTATCTTCTAGTGGCGCGTCATTTTTATTCGGAATTAAAATTTTATAATATGTAAATGTTGAAGTTTAAAAAAATTAAACATTAAAATTACGTATGCAAATTCGCAGTGAAATATAAATATCTACTTTCGGTTTAAATTCAAATTCAATATTAAAATTTTGAAATGAAGAAAAATTAGAAATGAAATTCAGATTGATTAAATTTAAATTTATTATTGTATGTGTATATTTTTAAATTGAAAGAAATGGAAACGGCAGAGATGTGTGATATTATGATTTTTTTGTCTTGACCAATTGATTCTCTCATATCTGTAATAAAAATATTTAGGAATAAATTATGATGCTTTTATTTATTAAAACAAAGTATAGAGTATATTTATATTAATGCTAATAATGAATATAATAGTTTAATCTACAAGAAAGCTTTTTGCCTATATAAAAAGAATAAATATTTTTTGTAAATTAAGAAATTTAAAAAGTCAAATATATTTGATAAAAGGTAGATAGAATCGATATTTATTTAAACAAGTTTAACCGATTATCTACATTTTCCAATATAAATTAAAAATTTTCGAAACTATGTGTTAATATATTCGCCCTCGAAAATCATAAAAGAAGATACTTAAGAATGCCGTTAAACTATGCGTTAAGTCTGAAATAAGTATAGATTGTGAGTTTCAAAACTCGTCTTCTGATATTTCAGATATTGAGATTCTTCATGGAATTTTTGATAATATAACATGATGCAATATAATGTTATGTGGTGAATATTATTTAGCGATATAGCTTCATGGATTAAAAATTTTCGAAAGTATGTGTTAATATATTGGCCCTCGAAAACCATAAAAGATGTTAGAACGTTTGAAAAAAAATATTTTTTCTTAATAAATAATCGAAGAAACGTAATCAATAAATTATTTTTTTATTATTTTTTATAGGAATTATTGTTGTAATATTGCTCTCTCTTTTATGAGATATCCTAAAAAAAAATAATTTATTCATATATTTATAAGTTACAAATATTTATTAACATATTATTATATTATGTATTTTTTATAAAATAATATATATTTTAAATATTTATATTTTAATTGAAATTTATTTTTCTTTCATCATATATAACTTTACTAGTTTATCTAAATTTTAATAAAATTAATTTATGAATTTAATTTTAGGACAAAATATAAAATTGAGGATCATATTATTATTTCTTGCTTTATTTATTCCAATTTAAATTTAAATTCCTTCTTTCAAATCAAAATTTTAAAAAAGATTAAAATTCAAAATGTATAATTTTTATTTTCTTATATTGAAAGAAATCGAATTCGACATTTAAACTTTATATGATATTCATTTTGATTAAAAAAATTTCAAAATCCAAAAAAAGATAGGCGAAATATAATATAATAGATATGTAATAGACAAATCGGAACATAAAGAACATATTTTTACTGATCGTTTCATTCAGGAAGCTAGCTGACTTGTTTTGATCGATGCAGTACGGTTACAATCGTGGTAGGTACAATTGGAAACGTGTACAACCATGACAGACGATTTTCGTTTTATTGTTCTGCCGCTAGTTGAGGTATATTCAACCAAAAAATGATGTACTCTTTGTTTGATTCAATGATTATCGATTGTCGATATATCGAACCAATTGAATACGTATGTATGTTTTATTGACATTTAAATATTCATAGCAATTTCCTAACTTGATTCTGTAATAATCTGGAAAGAATAAACATTTTATTGTTTGTAGGAAATTTTTTTTCTGTCCAAAATATAATTTTCATTTGAAAATGTCGAAAATTTAAATATTTCGAAAATTTTCGAAAAATTATTCATTGTCACTCGTAACTTGTTTCGAAGAATTGAAGAACCATTTCTTGTTTAATAATGATATTTCAGCAGATTTCATAATGTTGTGCAAATGATCATCGTTGATTATAAAAGAATAAAATATATTTTATTGGAAACAAAATAATTTTGTAATAATTACAAAAAGCAATTAATTTATATATTAATTTATAATTTATAAAATGTATTCAAATAATATAAAATAACAAATATCGTAAAATAAAATATTATAATAAAATAATTTTATAGCAATAACAAAATAATCATTTTTTAATATTTGAAAACAACATATTTATAAAATGGTGCGATCAATAATGTCAAATATATAGTAAAAATTGCATGAAAAGATTTATGATGTCTGCTCAAATAGTGTGGATTTCTTTTACCAGAGAACTCATTCATATGTTTATTCTGATTTTCGCTCTTTTTCTTTCACTTATTATCCTTTTCTACATTTGGCTTTGAGTTTTGATCGAGCCATGGAATTAAATTTCAACTTCACTATTCCATCAATTCCTGGTTCGAGTCTTAATTTTCGTACAATTATCCAACTTTTACTATGTAGTGATGTGCAATATCAAATTCTGATGAAACTGAATTCAAGCTCTGAAAAACTGAAAAATATCTTAACTTGTTATAAATCATTAATGTAAAAAATTTTTATTCACATTCGTGATATATGGATATTTTTAAAATATTTATTTTTAAAAATCATTTTTCGAAAATTAAATGAATTCAGTAATTTTTTTTTATTCTTTTATTCTTTATGTAGTATCTCAGAATTGGTCATTTTAAAATTAAGAATAATTATATTTCATGATTGTTAAATCTGTTTCCTTTTTTTTTTCTTTTTTAATTAAAATTCAAATATTATAATAAATGAAATTATGAAAACGTCCATTACATCTCAATGTTCCATTACGTAATTCAGATCAGCATATGAATCGCAGAATTGATAATTTCACTCCATTCTCCCCATTATATTCGTTATCTCGACACGTTGTTAAATAATTCTACGAGAATTTCGATCGAACAAATGAGTTGGAAGATAATAATTAAAATATAATTCAATAATGATTAAAATTGAAAAGAGGCGAGAAAATTAGAGAAAACGAAAAATACAGATAGTAAATGAAATTTTAAAATAACTTATACATTTTTGATAAATTATCTTACTATATTATACGTATTAAGTGAATTTTTTAATTTAAAAATACAATATAATTGAATATATATTTTTTTTATAAAACTTTCTTTTAAAGTATATTAACAAATGGAAATATTTTATATTTATGTGTAAATGAATATGATATAGTGATATGATATAATAAATACAATTTTAATTATAAAACTTATATATATAATTTTTTAATTTATTTCAATAACTCATTTTATTATATATATTCCGAAAAAAAATAATCAATATAAATAATAACGAAAATTATAATTAACTACGAAATTAATATTCTCTATCTAACTTCGAACAATGCACAATTAATCTCGGTCTATTATACATATATTTAATTTATATTTTCATAATTAATTAATTTAACTTAACCTAATCACAATATACGTAATGTTATATTATATATTGTATCATACATATGTGTTTTAAATATTATATTGATTAAAATAATAATACATGTAACTTTAATAAAAGTTTATATGTATACGTAATAAAATAAGCTATACGTGTACGATTAATTTTTTTTTTTTTTATAGAAATCAACTCTCTTTTATTTGAAAAAAATATATTTTTACAACACGATGATAGAATACCAAAATCTAAACATTTTGTGATTTAAAATTTTACTATTACCCGCACCATTATAAAATTATATTTTAAAAAAGAAACATTCAAGCTTCATTTCATCCTTTTCAATAAAAGAAATACTCTTTTATTAAAAAAGAAAATTAATTTTTGATATACATATGTTTTGTACGATTACAACAATATTCTTATACATATCCTCCCATCCTGATATTTTTATCCGTGTTAACAGTCTCATTTACACAAGTGTACTTTCCTGGACCATTGTATCCTCTCAGATTCTCAAAAGGTAAAAACAATCCGCTTGATTGTTCATTTAATTAATTTAACATTTACTCTCTTCACGACTATTCACAACTGAACCTCCTCCAGATTCAACCATTGTTTTCGTCCATTATCACCGTCCGAGCTCGCAAATTGTTTTCGAACAAGCCGACACTTTTAGCGACATTCATTTGATAATACCGGTATTAAACTTTCGTATCCCAGTGTGTAAAAAAAGAGAGATGGAACGGCTTACTATACCGTCTTTGTGCCCGCATAAAAGGGTCCCTCGTCTCGAAAAATATTACACGCGTTTCCGGTGTCCGTCACCGGTTACCACGTTTGAATTAAAACGTAATTTTACCCTCGAGAAGAAAGGAGAGAGAGAGAGAGAGAGAGAGAGAGAGAGAGAGAGAGAGAGAGAGAGAGAGAGAGAGAGA